ACCCTCAAGCCACCTAAAATTACCCTTCCCTCATTTGATGGGCTCCAACCCATTGGATTGGTTGTTCCAAGCCGACCAATACTTCAGTTTGTATAGCATCCCGAATGACCAGCGCATCGCACTAGCTGCGTTCTATCTGTCCGGGAGATGCGTTGAGCTGGTACAAGTACATGCATAACAACCGGCTCCTCGATGATTGGCCAACCTTCACACGAGCACTTGAACTCCGATTCGGACCGTCATCCTTCGAAAACCATCAGGCTGCGTTGTTTAAACTCAAACAAAAAAGTATTGTAGCCGTCTACCAAGCAGAATTTGAACGAATTAGCACCAGGGTCGTCGATTTGTCACCCAAAGCCCTCTTGAATTGTTTCACATCCGGCCTACGCCCCGATATCTAACACGAGCTCGCCATCTTACACCCAACCACACTTCATCAGCCAACAGGTTAGCTAGACTAATCGAAGACAAAATTAATGCCACAACCCCCTGCCTCCCTTCACAACCTTCACCATTTGCTTCATAAACAATCTGTTGTGGAGTATTTTGCAATTTTGTTTGATCCCATTCCCGATGCCCCACCAACAAACTCCCCTCCCCTAGTTGATGATATTGTCAACCTCCTTCAACAGTATGAACACATCTTCTTTAAACCCTCTGGTCTACCACCCCCACGCTCTCATGATCACCACATAAATCTTCTTCCCAATTCCCCACCAGTTAACGTTCGACCTTACCGATACCCGCATTTTTAGAAAGAGGTAATGACCAATCTAATTACGGAAATGCTTCATGATAGGATCATAAAACCAAGCACTAGCCCGTATTCATCCGCGGTTTTGTTGGTACGTGAGAAAGATGGAATATGGCGTTTTTGTGTTGATTATCACGCTTTAAACGCGATCACCATCCGGGATCACCACCCCATACCCACGGTTGATGAGCTTTTGGATGAACTACATGGATCCCGGCATTTTTCCAAGATAGATTTAAAATCTGGGTATCACCATATCCGAGTTGCCACTGCTGACACTCAGAAAACAGCATTCTGAATAGTTGACGGCCATTTCAAGTTCCTAGTTATGCCTTTTGGACTCTCGAATGCTCCATCTACTTTTCATGCTGCTATGAATGATTTGTTCTGGGATCGCCTTCGTTGTTATGTGCTCGTTTTCTTCGATGATATCCTCATCTACAACCCTACTCGGGCCTTGCATCTTCAGCATCTCAATTCGGTTTTTGACACTTTGATCACCCATAAGTATTATGCGAAGCGTTCCAAATGTATTTTCATCGAGGAACAAGTCCAGTATCTTGGTCACATGATTTCGGCCAAGGGAGTTGCGATTGACAAAGAAAAGATTCGTGTTATTTTGGACTGGCCACCCCTCGGATCGGTCTCAAAACTTCGAGGGTTCCTTGGACTTATCGAGTATTATTGTAAGTTTGTTCGTGACTATGCTACTATTGCCTCCCCTCTTGCAGATTTGCTACAGCATAAGAATTTTGTATGGAATGACAAAGCTTTTTCAGCGTTCCAAGCTCTCAATTTGGCAATGACCTCCCTACCCATCTTAGCTCTTCCTGATTTCTCAAAAACTTTTGAAGTCACAAAGGATGCCTCTGGTACAGGGGTTGGAGCAGTTTTATCCCAAGATAATCACCCCATTGCCTTCTTCAGCAAGAAGATGGGCCCCCGAATGCAGTCTGCTTACACTCGTGAGTTGTATGTTGTTACCGAAGATGTACCTAAGTAGCGACAATACTTTTGGGTTGTCGTTTTTATATCTACACTAATCAACATAATTTACGTCACCTGCTCACTCAAGTCATCCAGACTCCCGATCAGCACAAATGGGTCACTTAATTATTGGGTTATGGTTTTCAGATCATCTATAAGTCGGGGAGTGATAACAAAGTCGCCAATGCCTTAAAACGTCGCGATGATCCGGTTCATTTCGCCCTCTCTACTCCCACCTTCCCTTGGCTAGATGAATTATGCCAATATCATTCCTCAACAGTGGATGGGTTACACTTCTTGGTTACCGTCAATGACTCTCATGCCGATTCGCATTATAGTGTTCACAAACTATTCAGGTCGCATTTTTGTTCTGGATGTTACTGATCTTTGTAGTCGTATCATGGTTGAGTTTGATAACACTCCAAGCGTTAGTCACTCAGGAGTCCAGCCCACTTTACGCTACCTGTAAGCCTCTTTTTACTGGCCACGAATGCGTGACAATATTGTCAAGTTCATTCGAGAATGCCCCACTTGTCAACAGGTTAAATACCCGACCCACAAGCCCTATGTGTTGCTGCAACCGTTGGATGTCCCCAACCAAGTGTGGGAGGCTTTAACGATGGATTTCATCACCCAACTACCCTCGTCCAATGGGAACACTGCCATTTGGGTCATCGTTGACCACCTCTCCAAAAGTGCTTATTTTATCGTTCTTCCTTCTAATTACACGACTGTCACATTGGCTACTTTGTTTTTGCAGACCATCTACCGACTCTACGGGCTACCTAAGTCTATCATTTTTTATCGTGATCCACTTGTTTTGAGTCGTTTTTGGCAGGAGCTTTTCAATCAGTTAGGTACGACACTCCGCCACTCAAGCGTGTACCACCTACAAACCGACGGCCAAAGTGAGTGGTCAACCGTTGTTTGGAGTCATATCTTCGTTGTTTTGCTAGTGAGGAACCTCATTCGTGGCATCGTTATTTGTACTTAGTCGAATATTGGTACAACGCCAATCATCATTCTTCGATTGGCATGTCACCCTTTTAGGCTCTATATGGTCGTCATCCACCTATCTTGCCTTCCTATTTAGCTGGCACTTTCCCCATGGCATCTATTGATGATACTAAACCGGTGCACCGCCGACCAACACCACCGACCACCACCACTGTGAACCACCGCCGACCACCACCGCGACCACCGTCGACCACCACCACCGACTACCACCGGTGTGAACCACCGTCGACCACCATCGCGACCACCGATCTGAACCACCGTCGACCACCAATGATCTGAATCACTGGCGACCACCACCACCGACTACCACCGATTTGAACCACCGCCGATCACCGCTGATCTGAACCACCACTGACTACCACCGATCTAAACCACCGCTGACCACCACCACCACCGACTACCACCGATCTGAACCACCGCCGATTTGAGCCACCACTGATCTAATTCACCGTCAATCTGAACCACCGCCGATAACCGCCATTTGAACCACCATGGACCACCACCGATCTGAACCACCACTGACTACCACCGATCGGAACCATCGTCGACCAACGCCGACTACCACCGATCTAAACCACTGTCGACCACCATTGATCTGGCACCGTCAGACACCGCCGACCACCACTGATTTGAACAACCACCGCCGCCACCGCCTATCTGAACCACCGTTGATCACCTCCATCTGAACCACTGAAGACCACCATCGATCTGAATCACTGCGGACCACCACCATCTGAACCACTGTGGACCACCACCGATCTGAACCACCGCCAACCACCGTCGATTTAGTAACGTCGTTTGGCTTATGATTATATTTGGTTCGTGTATTTTATATTGTTTTACATATTAAATAATTATTTTATTAAAGTATTTTTAGTTTTAAAAAAAATCAAAAAAAGGCATTTTGGTTATTTACCAAAATTTTATTCCAATTATAAAGTACATTCTATGAACCAAACCGACAAATTCCAATTTCTTAACAGATTCCATTATAATGTCTGTCAACCAAACAAGTAGCCAAACCTAACAACATTTCATTCCAATTCCTTCAAAGTCAAATTCTTTTAACAGATTTCATTTCATCCAAAAACATTTTATGAACCAAACGCCACCTAGATGTTTTAGATGGCTCATCAGCAAAACAAAAGAAGAACCCTTGTTATTTGATGCAACCCTTTTTGTTTTCTCAAAGTATGATTACGAATGCACCCCAAACTTTCTACTATAAATCACAATTCACAAGTACAAGAACTTATGCTCGATTATGCAAATTCCCGATGGCCAGAAGCAAAAGGGCTCTATTCGATAATATATAAAAAAGACAGCTGAAAAGTGAAGAATATATTCACCAGCAAAAGTTATGGTTGAAAATGAAAAGGTCCCAATTAACCCAATGGTAAAGAATGAGAAACCGCAGAGATGAAAAAGGGAATATACCTAGGGATTAAACGACCTCAACTTCTCAAACTTAACAAAAGTCTCAGACTCTTAGGAGCCGTTCACAATGTGCTTACCCGGGTCATTTACCTTAATGGACAAACATGTCGGCAAGGGCCGAGAATCTTGCCCGGGAAGAGCGATGATAAGCATTAAGAGTCTTATCCGACATAGGTGACGACTCTTACCTGACTTACTGGGTAAAACTGCTTTGATGGATTACAATCTTATAGGTAAGTGTTTAGGTAACCGGCCCCTAATAGTGCTTGTTGCAAGCTTTTTGGAAAGATTAATGGCCATATGTGATTATGAAAACGCCACCTTTTTATTCGTGTACCTACAGACCAATTTTCCTTGTAGGTCCCACCTATTTTTACAAAAGCCATGTGAAAAAACTCTCTTTTTTTAATTTAGATTATAAAAAAGTGGGTCCCACATGAAAAACTTGGCTCAGCTTGGTAACAAGCACCATCGCGGATGCTCTTAGGGGTCGTTTACCAAACGCTTACCTGGGTAAGGGCTTACCAAATCACAGTACATTACAGGATGAATATGGTAAGGAAAAAGAATCTTACCCAGTTAGAGCGAGACAAGGACCAAGAGTCTTACCCGGTAAGGGCAATGACTCTTGCCATGGTAAGTGCTTACCGGGTAAATTGTTGCATACGATGCCATCCTGATGGACTAAAATCTTACCCGGTAAGTAAATGATGGTGCTAATTTTTCTCAGTAAGCGCTTACAGAGTAAGTGTTTGGTAAACGGCCCCTTAGTCAGGAAATGGTGAGTTAAATCTCTAATGAAAGGTAATAATAAAGCAGAAACCTCTCTATTTCAAGAAATTTCTAACAGTATAAGTTGAGATAAGACAATCTCTAAATAATCTACAATCATAAAGCACATGTTATCGTCTGCTTTAAGATCATCTAATTATACGACATAGAAACACCAATTTGAAATCTAGTAAACTGATTGTGCAACTACTCTATCCGTTCCCGGAAAAAGAACCTTAATTTGACTTGTTGAGAGTTGAACCCTTTTCAAATTCAAATTTGATACACTTACATGTCTGCAAATTATAAATAAAGCATTTCCCCAAATCTTATATTCACAAGTGAACAAATTCACCTGCATGAAAATATTTATAACACTATAGTTGTAACCATATAAACTACTAATTACCATTATTGCTATTGCTATTGTTATTGCAAGTTAACTGAATTTGAATTCTGAAATCTTAAAAGTTTGAAATCTGACTTCTAAATGTACTTTCCAGTTTTGGAAATAAAAGGGGTATTTTATGGTTCTTTGTACAATTTTGTAAAATTTAATAAAGATGCATCAATTTTGAAACTAAAAAAGAAGGTTGTTCAACTCTCAAAATTCAAATAGGAGCTCTTTTGGTGGAAGGGAGAGCGTAATCACATGTAAATTTGTTTTGGTTTACTTTGGGGAAGTAAGTTTACTTTCCTCTGAATCATGCTTCATTGAGGAATCCCCACCCATCAATTCCTGGAAGGCTTCAACCTTCACAGGTGGAGCTCTAACCATGCCCATGTTCCTGCATTCAAACAAGGAGAATTCAATCTCGAATATTCACGTGATAAATTTTCATTTTTGTGCCCTTATATTGTGTGAGCGTTATGTTATATCTTGTGAAGCAAACCTTCACATGAACCTAAAATGTGTACTGAAAAGTTATTGTGAATGCTGTAACCTCCCCATGCCTTCAGACAGTTACAGTCACAGGTTTCACATTAAGTTTACATTATATTATGTGAATGTTACATTTCTCACAAAAATGGTTATTTCTCACGGGAACCCAATCCTATATAAAAGATTGGGTTCCAGTAAGAAATCAGAATTTCATGAAGCACTTTGTCAGTGGAGGTTCACACAAGTAGACATGTAAACATTAGTTAACATTTCATTACAAGGTATGCTAATGTAGTTCTTAACTTATGTTAACATTTCCATGTTAGTATATGTTAGCATCCATGTTAATATATGTTGGGATGTTAGCTTATGTGAACATCCACTCTGTACGCTTCTCGGGAAATTATGATTTCCTAGAACCACAAAAAGGTTGAGAACCAATAATCATGTGTTTGTGAAACAATGCATGTGAAAACTACAATGTTGTTTCACAATATGTTTATTTTTAATGTGTATTCTTTGTTTCACATTCTGAAACAGCACTGTACTTTTCACTTGCATTGTGAATTAGTAGTTCTCATGGTTCTCTAACATTTTTGTGGTTCACATTTGACTATGTGGGTGGGTGTATATAGAACTCTTTTTAAATAGGAAGTGTTTCTTACGGTGAGTGGGCTTGTGGCTGGAGTTGGGGAATTTGGACTGAAGCCATTGGTCGAAATTGATTGCCAGTCTGAGCTTGGAAAGCAGAGATTGCAGCAAATTGCTGCTGCCGGAACTGCATCTGGGGATTTCTGTAGTTCATTGTTGCAAATGCAGCAGCATTGTTGTCCATAGGAAAGTCAGGTGGGTTTTCAAGCTTGACTTCAACCATGGATCTTTGACTTTCATTATCCACATTCATGTTACCACTCATATTCATAACAGGACGAGGTGTGGAAGGTTGACGCCTTCGCATTCTGTCCCACTGCTGCTGCTGCTGTATGGGGTGAACCATCTGCTGCTGCTGCTGCTGCTGCTGCTGCTGCAGAGAATGAACCATCTGGTTGTGCATTTGCCTTGGAAACTACAATAGACAGCAAACACGAGTTTTCTATAGCATTATATAAATCTCTTTACCATAATAATACAAGCCAAAACAGAAAAAATATATAAAATGAATAAAAATCACCTCTTACCCCTTCCCTGTTTCCTCCTTCCTCCAATCAATTTTTGGTGTGTTAAGGTAGGGGACCAATAAGCAACTATAGGGGGTGGTTAAATAAGTGTAGGGGGATGATCATGTAAATATAGGGGGTGCATACTTAAATTAAATGGTAGTGGAGAGGGAAAAAAAAAAGGATGAAGTGTCGACGTCTTATTGGAGGGACATGGAGGGAATTGGGAAGAGGCAACAGGAGATTTTATAAAACAGAAGCTTTGGAGCCAAGATAACTCAGTTGTATAATCCTGATAATTATGGCTGGCAACAGACAAAAGAACCGCAGACCATACAAATACAAAAGAAACTTTTTGATAAACCGTAAGTCTCAAAATTATTAAGGTTGCCAGGCATTCTGGGATGGTACTCGCTAATCGAGTTACCACTCCATAATTTCAAATTCACAACTCAATAAAGCCTACATCAAAAACTAATCAAGTTACCACTCCATAATTGGTTTCTGTCTTCTAACAGCATAAAACCAGTTCGTTTTTTTCTCTCTTTGGTTTGAGAACTGGTTGTAAAACAGAAACCATGAACAAAATGGTTTAATTGATCATCTTTGTTGTCCTCTTCAAGCAAAAAACGGTAGAAGGAAAAAATATTGTTTTGTTCTTGTGGAGCATCCTTGATTTCATATTCCTCATAAAAACCCTATAACCGAGCAGAAGGGACACCCCCTTATTTCTATGATGTGCTATGTGGTTTATTTATGTCAAGAAAATTGTTGAGTATTATAGCAAAAGATGGAACTAAGGTCAAATACTCGAAATGCAAGATAGCACTATGACGTAAAAACCTGAGATTTGCAAGTCATGATTTATCCTGAAGTTTTTTTAATACCTAGTATAGTACACTTCCTATTTCGAGATGAAATGCCTAGAAAAAATAAAAAATCGTGGTTGGGAAGGTTATAGTAGCCAAAGCCGTTGGAATTTTTTAGTTTATACATTGGAAAAATCTGTTTTGTTATTAATATACTAGGAAATCTGTTAGTTATTTGTTAAGTTACATCTAGTCAATGGCCACAATTAGACGGGTATATACCGCTCAGATACGTAGAACAAAAATACGTTCTTTTGCATCAAGCGTTCAGGGGACTCACTCAAGACTTTCTTGAACTTTGCAAATTTGATGATTGTATGGTACAAAAACAAAGGGGTATATGCATTAGAACCTGACTTGCAGAATAATACCAACAAGCATAAAGCTTGCACCAAGGATGTACAACACAAAATGAAATTTTAAATTTTATACGAAAAGTAGGTAGATGTTTTGGAGAAATTAATCTTAAAAAAGGGGCAAGGCTAGCACCTTTTAGGGGAATAAGTGAAAATGAAAACTAGCATACTCAGCCAACATAATTCTAAAACCTTCAAATATTCTCTGTAAAAAGGGAGAAGTGAAAGTTGTCTAACCTGATGAGGTTGTCGAACACCAGTTTGATTCTGCAATTGCATCTGCGACTGGATCGCCTGAACTTGAAGTTGCGTTTGCTGTACGTGGTTCTTGGTACTATCTTTGACAAGCTCAGCAAAAGCCCCAAGATTACTAGAGTAAGCCAAGAACATGTTAGATGACCAAATATTGAAAATCAAAAGATATCTGAAGAAGAACCATAATTATGTGTTGACATATAGTAATTGTAGGGACAATTAGGTGCTGTTTGTATTTTAAGAGATGTTGAACTCTAAAGTCTTATTTCACTTCTTATTGATAAGAGGGGGTTTTGAAGTCTGAAGCAGAATCAATAACACTTTGTTTTGTAACTCATAAATGTATGAATGTATGTAATTATCCATTTGATCCCTCAGGAATATTATAATGTCGAATTATACAAAAAGAAGTCCATTTTTACTCATAAATATGTAAAATAAAATATGTAAAATAATTATCAAGAAATCTTTATCTGAAAACAATAAAATAAATTTACCTAACTAACAATTATCAAGAATCACAAGGATGATATTTATCTGAAGACAATAAATAAAATGTGAGAGGTCATGAGTTCAACCCAAAAAAGTGCAGCAGCAAGTGTCTAAAGCATTACATTAAGATGTGAGAGGTAACAAGTTGAAACCATGGTGCAGCAACACATTTGAGTTTTTCTATTGAACTAACATCAGCAGTCTAATAAGAGGACAATAAGAGGTTTTAAGCTCTTATCACCAAAAAAAGAAAAAAAGAACAGTTCATATATGACTCTGAGAAGTGAATCAGGTGACTCAGAGAAGGCAAGCAGAAATCAAGTGAACAGCTGAAAATACGTACCCATGTCCAATTGTTTGGAGGAACATCTTAAGTAGTTCAATTGCTGAACACTCCTTCCTGTAACTATCAGCAAGAACTTTCAAGATACGACCCAACTTAGATATATGACACCCAAATAACTGAGCAAATATATCCAATGGCCCACCAGACGCGGAATCAAAACCAACATCCATCAACAAACGAGAAACCACTTGGCGTGACAGCTCTGCCGCTTGATCTGGACTTAAATTGTTCTTCATCCCACTTGATCCACTTTTTCCACGATCATGATTCCCTTGTTCCATATTAAGGTATTCTGGCCTTATACCGAGTCTCTCTAACATAATGGGGCTTTTGGTCATTATTGGGGGCAAGGTATCTAGAACTCCATTGGACTTGCCACTTTGCACATTTTCCATCTGATTAGATGGTGGTAAAGCACTATCAGGTACGGAGTTTGCTGAAAACATAGTCTCGGGAAAAAACAAAGTTTCATCATCCAAATCAGAAGATCGCCGACTTGAACCACTTTCAAACATGGGACTGCTTGAACTCATATTTTGTTCTTCCATAAAAACTGCCCGGCTTCTCTTATGCTTTTCAACAGTCCTAAGATAATTAGACATCTGTTCGGGTGTACGTTTTTCAGACTCTCGATCCCCTGAAGGTAGCCTGTATGGTTTGGTAGCTCTATATTTTTCAAAGAATTGGGTATACCATGATTCTGGGGATCTCTGAGACATACTATCATCTTCACATGCAACATACCTTGATCCAACACCCAAACTTGCTTTTAATTGAACCTGTAAAACAATTGAGGGTATCCCGGGAAAAAGGTTGATAAAAAATGTAATGCAAATCAAAAATTAGAAACAACTAATCAAATGTGTATTGAGGATTTGAAGCATGAAGCTAGATCTAACACAAAAGAATGTCATTTAGAGCCACTCATGCCACTAATGAACTGGCCAACCTCCTGGATGCAACCGCTGCTAAATTGAATACAAGAGCCCAGTATGATTTTTCTAATAATATATTTCTTAATTTTTTTGTTGGCAACTATAATCATTGACTTTAGCTTTAACTTGCCACTCCAGTTAAGTTATTTCACCACTGTTTATTTAGATAAATCATATTCGCCATGCAAGTAGTCGATATCTTTCCTGAACATATTTGCATGGTATAAACATTGTTAACTACAGCAGATATGCAATGGCAACTTCTGAAAAATGTAAGGACAGCGATACAAATTTGTGACAAAGCTGTACTTCAAAAATTGCAATCTCTATCCTAATACAAGCTAAATGGCTACCTTTCTGCTTTTCAGAAATACGGGCTGTCCAGGAAGATCCTGATGTGAAAAAGAAGACAAAGAAAAATTCCTAGTACACCCTCCGGAGGATATGTAAGAGTCTGACATGAATAACAAGGTCAAACTCCAGGTACCCGAGAATGGCAAAGCTGTTTTGAGATATAGTCGAAGTGTAAAAACCAAGAAGGATTGTATCACCTATGCATGCTACCAACTATACCTATATCTCTCAATACATACATCCATCTACACACATGTAAGAAATAAGTATTAACAATATATTAAATTCTACATGAAGCACCAAACAGTGTTGTTTCCTCCACTGAAATTCCTTCCATATAGATGAGAATGGAGGACAAAAGGTGAAGTAGACCATGTATTTTCAAAGCATGTGTGGCATATGTAAGTGTAACACCTCAAGGAGAATATACTAAACCAAACCAAACAACCAAAGGTACCAGTAAATCCCATGCATACTTAGGGTCTGGGGAGGGTAAGATGTAGGCAGATCTTACGTCTACCCCAGGGGGAGAGCAGTTATACCCATGAAGAACCCCAGCTTGCAAAACAAATAGATATAACAAGCGAATAAAATATAGGTAAGACCGTAAGAGTGTGTGTGCACAAGTAAACGGACAATGTAACAGGGCAGAGGAAAGGAAAGGGAAATAGGTTACAGAAGTGGACAAGGAGCACAAAGCACAGTATAGGCAAACTACATTTACATAAAGAAAATGTAAGACTGATGCACAACAAACAAGTCAGACACATAGGAAGTAGAAACAATGGCTTACATAAAAGGTAGAAAAATGAAACAACCCTCCAACGGCCACCACACTATCCCTCTCCCCGTTTCACCCTCTAGCTACTCCCAACTCCTCTTCCCTCTCCCCAACTACAAGTTCCTACCTATAGTTTGCTAACCTAGCCTTACGTCCCCAAGAGCTCCTATTGTAGATGTCCTCGAAAATGTCTAAGGCCACCATGTCCATCCTGAGTTGCTCATCCCACATCCTCCTTGGCATGCCGCTCCTCATCACCCCTAGACCATCACACTCTCTACCCACTATTCATTGGAGCCGCAATTTGCCTCCTACGTAGATGCCCAAAGCATCAAATTCGTTCCTCTCTAAGTTTATCCATGATGAGCATAACTCCCAACCCCGCCCAAAAGGCCTTGTTCAGTTATCTTGTTCAACATGTCCATCCACTTGGGCATCCTCATTTCTGCGACTTCCAACTTCCTCTCATACGATTTTCTCATCGCCTAACACTTCGACCCATACAACATAGCTTGTAAAATTTCCTCTTCAATTTGGAGGTCTAGTCACAAAGCACTCCCGTTGCAGCTCTCCACTTTAACCACACGGTTACTATGCGATGTGTCACGTCATCGACTTCTCCCCCCTTCTGAATCATAAAGCCTAGATACTTGAAGTTATCCTTTTGAGGTATCCCTTGATTCCCAATTTTTGACTTCAACTTCCTTGTCGATGTGTTCCTGCTGAAGTTGCACCATATATATTCGGTCTTGCCGTCTTGGAGCGACTAATGCGCAAACGTTGTCCTTCCACTCTTCTAGCCTCTAGTTCACCTCTACTCTCAACTCAAATACCAATGCAATGTCATCAGCACATAACACCATGAACACTACCCTGAATACCTGAAGAAATCTCATCCAAAATCACAACACAAAGGAATGGACTTAGAGCAGAGGTGTAGCCATATCTATATCGGGAAACACTGCATCTCACTCACTAAAGTCCTAACACAGGTTCTTGCTCCCCGCACATATGTATTGCATCTCTCCAAGTTCCATCCCTCGACACACTATCATAGGCCTTCTCCAAGTCTAAAAAAGGAGGATATATGGAAGAGGGATTTAGCTGGCAAGGGGCATAAGAGAGAGTAATAGAGGAAGACGAGCAGACGAGAGAGAGAGAGAGAGATAGGAAGCAGGGGTTAGAGGGTAGAAGGGAGAAAGGTAGGGGGAATGCGACAAGGGGAAAATGCTACTACCGTGGCTATGAAGCAACCGATTCGCTGACTGTGTCATCAATGGAGAAGAAAACCAGTGTACCCGGACAATAAGAAGGAAACCAGCAGGTGTCGCTTGAGGAAACCAACAGGCGTCACTTGATACCTTGTTGCCTGCACACAGAAACGGTTGTGGGAATGAGGTCGTAGTTAAGGGAAGGGGCCATCGGTAAGGTGGTTAAGGGGTCTATGTTGAGTAGATGTGGGGCAACGATCGAGAGGAAATAGGTTCAGAGAGCTAACTGAAGAACTAAAGCTATTAAATGACACTTGTTCAAGTTGCTCAAATCCATACAGATTTGATGAGAGGGGTACACATTTTTACCAACTATAGGTTAAATGGATGGTATATGGTTGGTTTAAATGACCAACTTTGAATTCCATGATATGTAAAAAAAAAAACAATAAAAACGAGTTATCATCACTAAAGGCAACTTCACTAGTCAAATCCAGTGAAATTTAAGGGAACAAGCAAAATTTAAATATAAAATGCATCTTGAGACATGGAGCATCATTTAATAAATCAGGAATCCCTTCAATATCCTTTTTATAGATAAGCAAGGACTGGATACCCCTCTACCATATTTTGTACAAATAGAATAGCCTATTTACATAGAATGCTAGAGAGGCATAAAAATTTTCTTTGAAAGGTTAAATCAATCAACTTGCCCATGTGGTGTAACATTAGTCCTTTCATAGCGGCTAATTGACGTATCTTAGATGCATTTCTTATGACTCCTAGAAAAGACATCATCATGGCTCAAAACATGTCTATTTCACTTGGACTATCTCCAAGACAGTGCCTAGAATATTATGCCTTTTCCAATTTCGAAGTTATTATTAACTGTGAAAGACTCGTTGGATCATCCCGAAGTGATCAATTAATCAACTCATGAGTCGTTTCTTGGCAGCACCATCCATCGCTTAATTGCAATGACTCGTTGGATCACCAATACCTCCCATATTGTGCTCAGTAGTTGTTTTACCGAGTGACTAGAAAGCGCTAAGCGAAATGGTCAACAACCTAGCTTTTAAAAAAAATTAAATTTTGGAGGCCATGTGCAAAGAGTTAAATGCAACCCAACAATTTTTTTAGTTATATTACTTACTAAATTTTTTATTACTAAATTAAAAAATAAATCCTTAAAGTGTGGAAGCAGAAAATAACTATACACAAGATTCAAATAAAAATAACATAGACATTTACATCGTTAAATTAATGCTCATTAATTTGTTGATAAGAATAAAAAGTAAATTAATAACATAATTAAAAGTAATCACATAATAATTACAACGTACAATATATAAAACAAATAGTTTAATACCTTAGACGTGAACATAAGTGGTCCTTCATTCTTCAGTAATAAATTGATACTACTTACATTTTTCCAAAAGACAAACACTATTGATAATTACAAAATTTTCATCTTTTTTTAACCTTTAGAATAACACGGTTCAAAATTTCTAGTTGGAGGCATCCTATTTTATATAAAATCAAACCAATAATTATTGGTAATTACAAAAACACATATCAACAAGCAAGTTTTATTAATTTATTGTTGTTAAAACACTAACATTAAAATTTTAAAAAGTTCCAAAGAACCTATAGAAATAATCTACAAATGATTACAAAAATCTAAATTCCACTAACTAATCAAACAATAAAGTTATAGAAGAAAATTAATAAAAATAAATAAATAAGGAAAAGAATTAAATATAAACTATAAGGCCTTATTTGTTCTTTCATTTTAAGCTATTAATCGCTGCCACTTATGTCTGATTCAGCAAGTACTTAGCCGAAAAGGCAAGTCCATCGGGGGCACTACCCGACTTATTTCGGTATTGCATATAAGTACCAGACGTGTTATAATTCAGACAGTTTGTTTTTATTTTATTTTCAAAGCCTCTTATTACTTAATATGGTCTGGACAAGTAAGTGGTAACCTAAGCTCTTAAATCCCTCTTATTCGCTTATCTTTTACCACGCCTCCATCTCTCATCAATTCTTAACTCTTACCATGCCTCCATCTCTTAAATCCCTCTTATCCCTTACCATGCCTCCATCTACGTCATCGTTCCCGCTTCAAAAACCAGTCCTCCTCACCCCTACCACCAATATCACCCTTCGCCGCCGCCACCACCGCCTCAGCCGACCCAGTTGCATTTGTCCCACCTCAATTATCCACCCACCGTCGATCACGATTTCAATTTTGAAGATTTGATTTCAAGAATTTCTATTCAATTTCAGATATCAGACTTTAGACGTTAGTCTACAAAAAAAAACAGCCTTATTGATTCAGATTTCAGACTTCAGCACCACCTCTTATCAATTACAAGTGAAATAAGACTTCAAACTTCAACGCCTCTTAAAAACAAACGCCACCTAAGATTGAAACTTGTATTGAGTGGAAGAATTAAGAATGGATCGATGAATGAAATGAGAGCAACAATTTTTATAGGAAGGGCGAAAAGAAACCGAAAAAAGAATTGAGAAGGAATGTATGAATGAATAGATAATTATGGAAGAAATCATAGAAAATCCAGTAATGAAGTTGACTTTAAAACATTTAAAAACCCTAGAAAGCTACTTAAATTAAAAAAAGTAAAAAAAATGCAGTGTGAGATATTTGAACCTGGGTCAGCAATAAAACAGGCAAAACCGCTTGCCAACTCTTCCACAGGGCTACTTGTGTTAATCAATGGCTTTGTTTTATTATATTCTAACTATATTATATATAAATAGATTAAAGAAAATCGGAGGCCCCCAACTATTGGAGGCCGCATGCAATGGCACCACCAGCATACCAGGGCCAGCCTTGTTTATCGGTTATATGGGCATTAAGCTGATGCATTATGATGGCCAATTTTAATGGGAAAAAATTAAATTTACAATCGATGGAAAAGTAAGCTTGTAATTTTCTTCCTATAATTAACAATAAGACCATATATGACCACTATTGGAAGAAAATCGTACATATATCATAGCATCATTAGTTGACGTTGCTGGTCAAGTTAAGCTAACAAGATGTGCGTTTTTGTTGTAATTCCCCAATTACCAAGAATAATATTTAAAATAACTGAATGCGATAATATATATATATAACCAAAAAAAGGTAAAAAGTTGCTTGTGAATAACTAAATAATAATAACTTTAGAATTAATGAGGAAATAAATAACAACAAATAAAAATCTATACTACATTGTAAAGCATTCAGTTCTGCAGTTTAATGCATATCCCTTAAAAGGGTACAAGTAATTCCTTACTGCATATAAGTTCTTAAAGCTTTTTGAACCGTATAAAACTAACTAATAATCAATTTATAAACACGTTAAGATACAAGATAAATCATTGAGCCCACTAAAACGACATCATACTCCATCATTTTTATCGAAAAATAAGTACTTCCTCTTTAAAACTAAAATTATATCTTCATTTTTAAATCTAAAATATTTAAATTAGAATTAAACAAATTATACCAAAAAATGAGAATTTTATAATCTTTAGTTTGACACCCATATCGGTATATTTTTTTCGGTGTTGTTTTTAATGTGTCTTCAAATTAGCAAGAGATGTTCAACAACCACTAGGAATTTCTATTTGTTCCAACATAAATTTTTTATTTCTTGTTTAATGAGAAGTTGCATTAGTTTTTCATTCTCTTTTTACGATAATTGCCACATTCTCTGCTTAATCGTTGTGGTATCGACTTACTCATCAATTAGAGCCCCTTCAAATCTATTAGATGCTTGATCGACTGTTAACACCTGAATGGTTGACCACCTACCTACACATAGGCAGTTTCTTAATCCAACCTTTACAACAATAGTTTTATCCACGGTAAATTGCAAGATAGTCCAATTCTTCCTCCATGATCCATGAAGAGGAAATGTTGTAACTAGTATTCACAGGACCTAACTCATCAGCAGGCTTGCCAAGCATGTTAGAGAAGTCATCTGAGAGTGACTATACCAGCATATCCTTTAAAAAATAAGAGGGGTGAATCTACTCTTGCAGATCATATAATCCTAAAACTAAGTTGTTTTTGGTAGATCAAATAATATTCGATGTTAGAACAAAGTATCTTCCATTTCCCCCTCTAATAGATCCTTTTTCTAAGCTCCAAAGCAATGTATATGCAGTAGTATTCATAAATTCCTTGTTTCTAATGTGGAATCCTTATGTAGAATATCTATAAATAGTATAAGCCCAAAAGATCAATGGATCTATTTGAACAGTTTTGATCAAGTACAATCTATTTTATTAGTGGCATATGAGCCAACAGTACCAGCATCTCATCATAACCACACTCAAAACATGAACGTCTTCTGTATAGACAAAAACGAGAAAGGACGTTGGTTCCACTTTCAAGGATCACAGCTCTCATAAATCTCTTTCTAAGCATTGGAACGATCAAGGCTGGTAAATAGGCACTTCGAGTTCTTTTTGTCGCCATGCGGCTTCTGTGGCACCAACTGTCTTTGTGTCGATGCGACAAGACAAATAGATAAATGCTATAACATACTTTATGACTCGTGTATCACAAGATTTCCTCATACCGCCAAAAGTACCAAATAGTTATGCATTTGTTTATTCTTCGGTAGTGACTATTCAAACAAACTACTACGCTAAGAGAAATCAGTTTATGCAATTGTATGCAAGTAACTTCGTCTAAGAGACTCTTGTGTAGCATATCTTTGTCCTTTAGATTGGTCTCCACAAAATAGGCACATCATTGTGAAATATTTATATTGAATCTATCTGATTAAACTAACTCCACATCATTGTCCTCCGATTGGTAGATGAACCTAGCTAATTAATCTAACCCATATCTTTGTCCTCGAATTGGTAGCCACAACAATAGGCAGCGGCACACGATTCTAAAACATTGCCCTTTTCAGGAGCAGCCTTAGCAAACACCTTAGAAAAAGAAATCTCAAGCATGCAACCTCATGGAAAAAATAAAAAATCAACGCATGCACACATCTTTTACAAATGAGGTCCATCAACACCCTTCTTCACAATAAATTCGCTTCATTATAGCACCTCACAAAATTTTATCATCACTTATGCCCCATCCACGCATCTTCATGAATGTATCAAGTGCTAAATAAGAAATATGGTTCCCCTAATGTTACCAATCATGAAATAACATCTGACCCACTAAACACCTAATCAGAAAAACCATACATGTCCAATTAATTCATTCCAAGGCCTTTCATTTACTTCAACTTCCATTTCATAAATAATTTCAAAAAAGTGAGCCAACACACCTTCGAAGATGGCGCTACATTTTGTGTAGGATTCTCCAGAGTAAAATAAACATCGTCCCCATGCAACTGCAAATCTGAAAAACAACAGAATTAACATTGAGAAATAGAGCTGCTACTGAGGGTCATTACACTAAATCAATAAGAGATAACAGCTCACTAAGAAGTAAAATTATGACCAAAGGCGCATGCTTATCTGCTTTTGTTAGATTTTATCATTTACTCAAACAATAAACACATAAATTTTGTAAAGAAGCTTTCAATTTCTCAAACTAAATCTTGGAGAACAATTAAGAACATGGAAATTCTTTATTAAGAACACTTGCAAAACGATCACTTAGAAAAAGCCCTTACATATCATTCTCAATGTGCCAAAATTTTACAAGCAGCTCATCGGATTACAGGACCTCATTGACGGAAGACATTTTACCGACAGACATGGCCGTCTTGGTGTGTTTGAATGACGAGCCCCATTGCCGTCATTTAAAATTGTGTATTTTTTTTCCAATTTACTTGCTTAAAACAACTCACAACCAACTTCAAGCTCAATTGCTTCAATTCATCAAAGCAAAACATCTAAGAGGAGCAAAACATTCTTACAATTAGGATTGAGTTTCGAATTAGAAGAGGAAGATGATCGATTCGACCAGGGGAAAAGTGATACACAAGCTTTGTCAAAGAGGAGAGCACGGACACGGAGTTGAAGTTGAATTTGAGCCCTAGACTTGGTCTCGTCGGTTCTCATGAATGATTCCCATGAAGACGGTGTTGATAAGAAGGGAATGAAGGTAGTGTAGATAGAATCATCTCCAAGCCACGATCGCCATACGCCTTGAGATTCAAGCTTCCGGGCTAGCTCGTACCCTCGTCCGTCGTCGCCCAGTAACGCCATCGAATGTTCTTCGTCTCTCAGTGTCGGAAAATTAGGTTAAGAAAGTGAAAGAAATTTATGCTGGAAATGAGTTAGAGTTAGATGGAAACTTATGTTTGGTCCTTCAAGTATTCCTATTTTCTCAAAATGGCCCTTGGTCAATGTTGGGATCAAATTTCTATAGCCGTTGCAACAACTGACATAACAGAGCCAGGGTGACCCGTGGAAGCAACTATGCAGAGCCTACCGACATCCACTAGAGATCGACACTCCTAGTAGACTCCCACAGAGTGACCATGAGTCCAACGAATTAGTCCAACCTTGATCGAGTCAATCAATGAGTTCGAAAAGAATCCCGAGTTTGCATGATTTGGATATGTTTCCTCAAATCAAAGGGTAGAGCATGGTTCACAATTTCCATAAAATAAATAGCAAATATTACTTTTGAAGAACAATAGCGTTCTCTACATATTTTAGCATTTGTTTAGGTGTGTATTGTCATGTTTTCACAATTTTTCCTAAAACCTTCTAATGTGACTTCCCCAATACTGTTAAATGTCTAGGACTGGCGTCGATTCATAGTGAATCAGCAACAATAATTATCATGGCAATATATTTGCATTGTGGATAACTTCAAATTAAAAAATGGATCATTGCCATCTAGAAAGATGACCGTCCTATATCTCTAGAAAGGATAATTATCTATTGGAAGAGATGGTGGTATGTTTCCAAAATGATTTTCACAAGTGCTTGGATTCTTGATGGGAATAGACGTCGAATAAGAGAAGTTGTTTAGCTTATTTGATACTAATTGTTTGTCCCAAAAGGCAATCACAATATGATGATCTCAGATCCATAGCATATCAAGATTAAAACATGTAATTGAGAGATTGAAGATTAAGAAATTGATAAATCGGCCAGATTCTTTATTTATGGAAAGCAGGAAATACAATTTCTCTCAAAGCTTTAGTCAACTCTCATAGGAATGAATAACAAAATGAACAACTCACAATTCTAAGCCCATGTCACCTATTTATAGGTGATATTTACAAGATTAGCACACACGCCCTTAGCCCAATTACAAGAAATATTGCAATACAATACTTGTACATTGCTTTTATAAAAAAAAAAATTAAACTTAGAACTATTTTAGTCCTAACAATCTCCTCCCGAAGTTTTATAAAACAAGCATCTCTGAAACCTTCAGGTCTTCTCCCCCCGCTTTCATTCAGAAATTTTGGTGTGCCCGACTTTGATGAAATCTTCAAGATCCCCCCCTGAATAAAGTTCTTATTCTTTCAGTATCAACTTTAGAATAAGATCCAATGTGAATTCAACACCACTGATTGCACAAAAAACAGTTATAACTACAGACAACTCAACACAGTTATTGAACCTCAGAACTATTGCTGACCCACAAACAACTAATTCATCCAACTATGTGGATAGATAAATGTGCGAGTTATGTAACATTTTAGTGTAAGCAGTCTTATGACAAAGAATCTTTCTGTGAACAACGAGTTGAATAGGCATTCAGCTTAAGAACTTGAACTTATAAGCTCAAAAATGGGGTATCGACATCAACTTGAATAACCAAAGCAAACACCTCTGACATTCAGATCCGGAGAGAAGTATCAGCATTAAGATCATGGCTTCAAGAACATCAAGTTAACTAGGAAAGATAAGTCAATTTCCTTCAAACTATCAGCAAACTGAATAATCAAAGTCAAACAAACAGAAGAATGATTATCGGCACTCAGAACTTTAGATCACAACCATAACTTCAGAGCAATGATTGTAGACTTTCAAACCTCTAATTGATCAGGTTAGAAGAATGACTGAAAACACTCAAAGGAGGTTCATGGCTAAGGATAAAGATGTGTGAATACCGGTTATAAGAGTTGCTAAAAGTCAAATTTGAAAAAAAAAAATTGATTGTGAAATGCGGAAAAAGGATTGCAGTCCCCCGCCTTACCACTTGTTATACAACATTATATCATCAAACTAATTTCATATAAAATAGATTCTTAGCAAACCCTAACTCTAACCTCAAATTCACATACTCAAATTGATAAAAGAATGAGATATACCTTTGAATCCTTGATTAATCCTTGAATATTCCTTAAGATTGAAGTGATTTCACACACTAAATGTGTGAAATCGCACCTCAAAGTTTCCAGAAGTTAAGTGTGTGAAAAATGGGGTGAAAAGTGGGTAAAATCGTGTTTTACCCTAGTTGAACTCGTCTTGGGTCGGGTTGACCCGGCTGGGTTGACCCAATACCCATTTTGACCACTTAACACAAAAAAAATCATAACTTTTTGCTCGGATCTTCGTTTTCGATGAGGTTTTCTCCTACGCGTTCGTAACAAGATAATTTACAACTTACAATAAAAATATTTCATAAAAGATCTACCAATAAAAGCAGTTTTACAGATTTGTACATGTTATGTTTTTCTTTGTAATCTTGTCGTTTTTTATTTTGAGCTCGGAATCCCATAAAATTTTTTCGACACCTCCAACAACTCCTAATAGGTCCAAAACTTAGTTCCAAAGCTTAACATCCTATCAAAAACCTCCCGATTAAGTATTGTGCGCGTAGTTCACCGAAATAGTACCGTAATTGAAAAACTTGCATAAAATGCAATTTACGCGACTTTTTCGACTTCCGACACTTCTAACACTTCATATTAACTTATTCAAAGGTGTTCCAACCTTTAGATCACCATTTAGATCATCCGCTCAAGATTTGGGTAGATTTTTCCCATTTAGGCACTTTAGTTATCTACCTAATTTTCATTTAGGCAAAGTACTTCATATTTTGAACCCTCACGTCATCTAATTATGTCATTTGTGAGGTGTTAGCATCAATCTTACCTTCTACATCTCATTCCAACTATGAGTTCTACTTATAGRTCACTAGTATACTTAACATTTTAGCAAAAAAATTTCAATTAACATGTAAAACATGCTTTAACATATAAGACATACTTAGAATTACAAGTTAAGCATATTTAGGAGGGTGGATGTTACACATATGGTATTTGGACAGTGGCTGTTCAAGACATATAACTGGAGATAAATCTCTCTTATCTAATTTCAAGGAAGAAAGAGGACCTTCCGTCACCTTCGATGGAAATGGAAAAGGATATACCAAAGGTTTTGGTATATTATCCAACGACACAACTACTTTTAAGCATGTTGCATACGTTAAAGGACTGAAACACAATCTTCTTAGCATCACCAACTGTGTGATAAAGATTATACAGT